CCATGGCACACGCGGGTTAGTGCACCATGACAACCCATGGTGCACTAACCCGCATGTGCCATGGGTTCACCATTGTGACCAATGTGGACATGAAAGAAGTGGAAAAGAGAACTCTGTTATCATACCCTGGAACAGCACTAAGTCATTGGTTCAGACACCTTTGTGTCAGGATGTACCACAATTCATGGATCGCATTAATTCGGTGGACCAACACATCAAATTCACCAGGGAGGATATGAAAAATGGCAGGTTAGCCTTCTTAGACTGTAACATTTCCATCAGTAATGGGGGATATTTAAAGTAGATGTTTAAACCTATGCATATGGATCAGTATTTAAGGTTTCACTCTCATCGTCCACCGGAGCATAAACTGGTTGTCATCAGGACGCTACAACACAGAGCGAACACCATCCCCACAGACACAGCGGCCAGGAGGAACATCACATCAAGAAGGCCCTGAGTAAATGTGGTTATCCCAGCTGGACATTTGTCAAAGCTGGGAAGGCTCCTAAGGAAAGCTCCAGCCGATCCAGGAGAGAAGGACAACTGCTGCCTAAGCGAAAACCCTCAGTGATCCCGTATGCATCTAATAATAATAATGTATACTTTATTGATCCGCGTGGGGAAATTACTCTCTTTGTATTTGACTTATTCACTCAGTGAAGCAGTGGGCAGCCACTGAGCAGGGACGGTACCTTGCTCAAGGGTACCTCAGGGTAGCCGTTCAGTGGATTCGAACCCCCGCCTTTCCGATCATGGGAAGGTAAGCAACCACTCTACCTACTGAGCTATCCCTGCCCTGCACTTTCTCTAAACGCCACCGCGTCTCTGTGGCTTTCAAACCCTAAAACACGCTGCGTCAAAAATCGGTCCTCCCCAAGGATTGGGTCCCTGTTTTGTCTGTATTATCAAATTGAACATATTAGACCTTGATGTTCTTTCCCCATCTGATGATGCAAAGAAATCCTTTATCCTTTATTACGTTAGCTAACGTAATAAAGGAGTTTTTAAGCACAAACTTTTCAGATGGCCTGTCACAAAGGCCAGTTTGAAGACCTGCAGAATTTGTCACTACTTTGTTGGTTTCATTTTTTCAGATTTTTTAAATGAACTATCTTTCTGATTATAAATGCCATTTGGTATCACATTTGGTCATTTTATACAATAAAAATTATGTACTTGTGGTGATTGTAGTATCCAAATACCACTGTCCAGAACAGGCAAAGTGAAGAGCAGTCTTTCTCAAATCCATTCACACTCCCATCACTCTGTATGAAAACTTATGTAAGTTAATGCATTAAAGATGAAAAAATGCCCTAAAGAAATCTTCAAACCCTGCTAACCTTCTGATCTCCTCACACATGCACAGTCACTGAAGCTTGTCAGATTTTTTAGTTGCACTTTAGCTGAAGCTTATTGGCATGTCCATAGATGAAAATATAGTGATATAAAAGAGTTTCTGAATAAATGTTACTAGAAGTGAGGTAGGAAAGTTTAATTAACTGTATCAAACCTTCTCTGAAAAGATCCATTAAATGGCACCATTTATTTGCTTACATTTATATCATCTACATATGATCTGTTGGTTTATTACCTCAGACTAACAAAAATGAAAAATCCACAGCAACTTATTATGAATTGTGATAGTTTCAGTTCCAATATTTCTTTTCCTAAAAAACTTACATTTAATACCAGAAATGACCTGATATGATTTGATGGGAAAATGTCATAATTTGACCACAATGAACTATATAGCTGTGTGTTTTTGTTTATAGATTTTGAAGCCTTGACTCCAGCTTTAAGCTTAGCTGGATAGTGCACAGACATCCTGCTAAATATAATTTCATATACTGAAAAGTTAGTCCTCTTAAATAGTCTGCTAGTATATTTAATCACACAGCAAACTTTATTATTTGTCAAACAATAACAAAACAGCCACTAAAAGTTCCTGCATTAGAAAGCACAAAAGTCTGTTTCAGTGACTCAAACCAGCTAATGTAAAAAAAACCAAACAAACCCCAAAACAATTTAAAGGGGGTGGGTGATAATAGGAAAAGTTGCTAATCGGTGTCACTGTGGAGATGAGTGTCTGATTGTGTCACTACTTTTCTACAGTTCCAGCATGATTACACTGAACCCTCATATGCAGAGTCCAGAAACAGTGAGTGAATGAACGTGGCTATTGCCATTATTTGTATACAGTCTTTGATTTTAACATGGGTCTCTAGGGGAAGTGATTGGACGGACTCACTTTTTCAGTCAGCCATTGGCTGCCCAAAATGATCCCGTGGCTATTTTGGCACTTGGATGTTGGATTTTCATATCCAGCAGTTGCTGCTTTGCTTGAACACAGCTAACATCATTTCATGTCTGCAGTTAGTTCTGTGCATTGCGTGAGGTGTGCTATCAAGAGTCAAATCACTTGAATTACAAAGAACCATTTATTGGGATTGATTCGGTTCACATTTACATTAAAAGTACCACAATTAAAAACATTGAAATCAAATCTCCTCTTCAGTGAATTACTGTTCAAGATTGCACAATGCCCAGCTCTGGAAAGACAGTCAATGACTGGTCCTCCGTCAGGAGTCAAAATATCACAGAAGCAGCAGAAATCTTAAAAATTCTCATCAGGATGGATCAGAAAGAGGTTTGCAGTTTTTTAACATAAGAACTGGAATGAAACAAAATGGACCTGTTGGCACTCAAGTCTCATTGATTAAGAATATAAGAGTGAAAGTATTTGTTGCATACACATGGGAGAAACGTTACAAATGAACACTGACGATTTGATGAAGACAAGTCAGAACTCATCTATACGAGGAGCAGCAGAACGGAGAAAACAAGAGAACATATTTAACGTTCTGAAATGACGCAAAGCTCTCAAACGGCTCCGCTTGTCTAAACAACAAAACATTCACATTAGCACCACTTACAGCTTACAAAAGGACAGTTTTCTTTGAAAACAATGGAGTCATCATCGTTCAGCTGGATGAATCATGCCCCGTCCCACTGACAGAAATCGCTGTGAGAAACTCTGAGCCATACATTTGAACATTTAAAAACAATCCACTGTAGGATCTATGATTTATATGACTTCTCAGGAAATGTCACCAGGTGTGGCTCAAACACATATTTCTATCTTCATGGTTTGCTGCACAGCTCCATCAGTTTGTCAGAACATGTCACTCAAAAAGAAAAACAAAACAAAACAGTGATTTCAATTTACAGCTATACAATACAGTAGACACAGAATGGAATACACCTCTTTGTCTGCATTAGGCTCTACTCCTAAAAATGGCTTTAAAGTAGTTCATCTTGATATTCGAAACACAGACTGAGAGCTGTTCTGTACTTTCGTTCATGTCCCAGTATCCATCTAAGCCTGAGGCACAGGAAGTGTCCCTCCCCCTTTCTCTGAGTTATTGCATTCAAAAATCAGACAGCATCTGCTTAAATCAGGCCTGCAGGTTCTTCTTCTGCTTTCAGTGCCTCTGTCCAGACTCTGATTAAGCCTCCTTGCTTATTTCAGCTAAAAAGCTTCTTGGCCCTGCCTACCCTCTGATTAAAATTTGGTTGGACGGGGGTATTGGCAGGACAGCAGTGGAATTCAAGTATCAAACCATGGTCTGAGGCCAAAGTGATGCAGCTGACATCATCAGTCTGCAGGATTGCTTTGAAGGAAATCTTCCCATCGAGACGAACGGAGCTGTGGGTGAAAGCCGATCCTTGATCATGGAGGAATGGTGACAACAAGCTTTAAATCAACTTGCACTAACTTATAATGAAATGCCAGTTTTGGAGAAGTGAGCAATTGAGCTGGGCACGAGGGCTGAAACAAAAAATAAGTTCTCAGGTATGAAGCAGCTTAGGGTTTGTTACAGATGTCATTTCACAGATAAAGGGCAGGTAACACTGGGCTACAGAAATGATGGCGGGGGAAAGCACAGGTCATGTAGGATACAAAAACCTGTATGCAAAAGTGGTTTTTCCTGGTATTTCTCATCTGCAGCAGCCACTGACACAGGTGAGTAATGTTTGGCATGTTGTGGCATAATGTTGTGTTTGTGTGATATTTGGAGATGTAAACAGCATGTAAATAGGATTCGCGTTAAAACGGAAGTCGCTCTATAAGCACATGCATCATATACCATCCAGTCATATATGTACACAACCTGTCTCGTGATGGGTGGTCCATATAAACATCTGGCACTCATTCAGCCTCTGCCTACTCTCAGCTCTGCTCGCATTAAAGAGCTCAGGCTGCCTGGGTTTGTTTCATATGGACCCAATATGCTCATTTTTATCCTTTGACTGTACCAGAGTAGCTCTGTATCATTCACGCCTAAATATAATCCTTATCTAACTTATACTGGGCCTCAGTGGAGCCCCCCAGTTCATCTTCTATCTAAAGTGAACTGCTTTCGCTCTTGCAACCTTCCCTTTAAGCCAGCGGGGGCTTCTGTGCTCACAGTGAGTGTAATGTGCCTGAGATGCCCATATTTGGGCTATCCCCTGTCACTGACATCATCCAGAGCCAAGGGTAGAAAAAACAATGTCAAACTGAGTGTTTAAATCAGTCTGAAGCCTGAGCTTTTACCCACAGAGATTATTGCCCAGTGACTGACCTCATTAATTGACACTTTTATTTCATACGACCACCAACCACTGTAACAATACATAGGTGGGAAAAATGTTAAGGTCCCCTTTAAGAACTGAATTTTTGCGCAACCGCTTTGACTTTCAATATGATAAAACAAAAGACAAAACAATTAGATGATAACGAATGACCACTCCCTCTGCTGTCCTTTTAGGTGACTTTTCCCCTCCAGTGAGCCCATATTGCAAAATAATCTCTATCCTCTCGTGTTTTCTCCTCAGTCAGCAGTGGAAACATTAACAATGACACCACATCCATGTTAACCATCCACACTGCCTGTAACCTAGAAATAAGATATTCGAAGGAATGGGTTACCCCCCCCACCCCCCACCCCCCCCCCCCCCCCCCGAAAAAAGGAGTGGTTTGATCCTGTAAACCTGGGGTGATTCTTTTCATCCAAAGTGGTCGTGAAGAGAAGAAAGTGAGCCCAGAGTCTGTCTCTCCAGTCTGAGGTGAGCTCTGTACGATCAAAGGATATACAGAGGTGTTTGATTTCGGGGCTCATTAAACTGTCTCCATGTTGCGATGTTTTTGTCTGGTCTCCTCTTACATCATAATCTACCAAATCACACGCTTTTCCACTGAGTAATTTCTCCCTTCCTCAACTGTCCTCCATACTCACATTTTTCACACACAGTGAGGCACATATAAGACTGTATGCGATTAGTGTGGAGCCTCCCGTCCCAGACATATTTCTCAGGGGAGGAGAGCCTCTCCCTCTTCCACCCAGAGGAGGTTCAGGACCTCGGCCTGCCGCTGCTCCCGCTGGTGAATCCTCCGCAGGCGCAGGATGTAGAGCAGGATGGCCAGCACCACCACCAGGATGCAGAGTGAGAACAGGTGGTGGTTGTAGACGAATGAAGAGCGCAGCCAGCTGGGGTGGTTCTGCCGCAGTGCTTCCTGCTGCAGGTCCCTGGAGAAACAAGCGGGGCAGAGGAAGCACATGTTTAATCCAAAACAAATCCTTGCTAATGAGCAGAGCAGCAGGAGCAGCATTCTGTTTAGCTGGTGTATTATTTTTGGGGGGCAGGTTTAGTCAAGTTATAACTTTCTGTAACTGTTTCATTTCACGGATGTAAAGAGGATGTTTTAAAAATCTTTTCAGGTAAACAAACTCTGTTTATATGATGCACTGTGCTTGTTATTATTAATTTGTGGCTCTCTTGCACAGCGTGTCTTTTGTCCCCCACCAGTCAAAGCAGTTAGCTGCTCCTGTCTCAGCCTGGACCTACTGGAGGTTTCTTCCTGTTAAAAGGGAGTTTTTCCTTCCCACTGTCACCAAGTGGTTGCTCCAAGTGATTGCTGCGTTTTTTCTCTATTACTTTAGCGTCTTTACTTTAGAGTCTAAAACCCCTCGAGGTGTCAGGTGACAGTTGTTCTGGTTTAGTGCTTCATGAATAAAAATGAACTGAATCGCTCTATAGCTGATTTCAGACTGTGACAAGATAAAGACGTAAGCCGTGTTTTTCATAGCGAGCACATTCCTGTGACACATCTTGTGTTTTTTCCCCAAACAAACCTACAAGTTAAAAGGTAACTCAGTGCAGGGATAACAGGAGCAAATCAATGAAAGTACATACCAGCGTAAGTTAGTGTAGAGTTAAAGTGTGACATATCTGACAGTTACCTGAGAGGCAGGAAGCGGGTTTTGTACAGGATGGCCCCCAAAGTCCACTGGACCTCTTTGTCATAAACCAGCTGGGCTGTTTTCAGGTTCAGGTAGTTGGTGGGGAAACGGAAACCAGAGTGTAACACTTCATACACCCAGGCTGACTTGAAGCACTGATACCTGGGGTAAAAACAGCACAATAATGGGTCAGAGGAGGATGAAAGTGACATCTGAGGGCAGGGAAAACAAAGCAGCCATTTAGATTTACAGCTGCAGATAGAGTCATGCAAATGTGCACCACCTGCAGGCAAGAAAGGGAATAACTTTCACAACTTTGCCACCAGCAGTATATCATTCTTTCAAGAATCAAAACACAGTCTGAAGAGTGATGTAGCTGACATCATTAGCCTTCATTTGCCATTTCCCACTGAGACAAACAAAGCTGTGGGTGAAACTCTACGACTGAAAGTGGCAAAACGATGGCAGCAGGCTGTTACATCAACCTGCACTTAACTGCAAAGCTATATCAGTTTCTGGGGTGAACATTTCAGCTGGTACATGACGGTAAGAGTTGCTTTTTCTCCTTTTTTCATGTTAGCGATGTCACATCATAAAGACTCGCGTGTAAAATTTGAGTTTGTTTGTGTATTTATACAGAATTTATGCATAATTTATAGTTAGTGACGTAAAGAACTGAGAAGTGAGCAATTAGGAAATATTTGTTCTGTTTTTTTTGTTTACTGTCCTCGAAATGCTTGGATGTGCCTGTGGCTCCTGGTGTTACTGAAATAATCCACTGTTGTGCATTGGTAGAAGAATTGGGTCAGCCTTACTTACCAAGAGTTTATGGGCTGAAAATCAAGTTCAGAGAGATTTGTTTATATGTGGAAAGCAGGAGAAAAGAAGTATCCTCATTTACAACACACAATATGATCTGCAATTAACTGCAGTTTGCTAGACTGAATAAATATGTGTGTATCTTAAACATGTGAAGATTTTAGCCACAAACATGTCCAGTTCTAGAAATTTGGTTTGATGACAAAAATAAACCACAAACCAACGGCTGACGTAACTTTGTCCATTTTCTACATATGGTCAGTGAAGTAGTTGGGGAGTAACTGAAGAGTTCCTCCTCATGTGGCCTAATAAAAGTGAATTGGCGATTGTGATAATTACACACTTCACATCTCAGGTTCTGCTCTTTGCTATGAAAAAACTCTCACACAGAACTGGAAAATTCTCAAAAGATGCCACATTTATTTGTGTGTGTCGTTTGTGTGCAGGTGTTTCCACGGACAATTTAGAATAGCATGAATACAGCCAGAAAACTGAACTTACTTCAGTCTGCTGTCGTCTGCCTGTTTGGAGTAAAGGTGGTTTTCCAGACGCTGTTTCAGTGTCGACCACTGGGTAGAGCAGTAGTCCTGTTAAATAAACCGAAACATGAAACTGAACTTTCACTGAACAAACACAGAATGTTAAAATCTTTTATCTAATATATTTGTCTAATGGAAGGACTGGTTTTGTTTGTCTGTTACCATAGAAGCTTTGGAGTATTTCTCACTGTTGTACTGTCCTCCTATCCTGAGCACGTCCTCCATACAGTAGTAAAACTCAGAGAAACCATAGAACTCACTGTTGCTGAAGTTGATGGGAGCCTGCAAAAATATTAGATGCCAATTTTTCTTTGCATCTCTACTTTATAAAGAATCAAGGAAAGACTGAGCAGCGATCAATACCATAAACAAAACCTTGCTATCATAAAGGTCCATACCTGATAGACACCTCTTGGTGACATAGTGCCATTATGGAGACCCAGGAAGGGTCGCACTGCCTCCTGACACTTGGTCCAGTCACCCTGACCCCTCAGGTGCAGCGTGCGATTGTCCCGGACTATTGTTTCAGTCAGTCCGACGGGCAGGCAGGAGTCCAGGTACGGTTTGTCCTTACTCAGACCCGTCTGTGTGGTTAGATATCTGGACAATAACATGGAAAAAAAAATTAAATCTACTTCCTTCACTTAGCTACACTGAAAGAATGTGAGGTTTAGAAAGATAAGTGTCTGCAATTAGATAAATCAGTGAATCAGATTTAAATACTTGATCAGTTATAGGATGTTTAAAAGTCTGAATCAACATTGTCAAATCAAGATCATTAATTATTCATATCATTTTATACACAAAAGATTCACAGTCCTGAATGTATGTGCACTATGTTTCACATCACATGCTCCAGATTGGATTTTAGAGAGGATGTGTGATTGTGTGCAGGGAGATGGTGCTGTTTTTCTAGTTTCTGAGATTAAACCAAGTTAAAGGCAGACAGTATTTTTACAAGGTTCAGCAAAACCTGGAAAGAAGCAAATAGAGAAAACAGCTGTGATAAGTGCCAGCTTGACTTTGGGTAAGAGTAATACGAAAGGCATGAGAGGAAAAGACACCGTCTAGAAGCTGATCTCTTATGGTAACACACCTGGGAGACAGGTGTTGATTTTTGTTTGCTTCAGCTTACTTTTAGAGTAAATATGGGAGCTGTTTAACATTGTTCTCTATGGAAGAGTTGGATGGAGGAGGCATTTATAGGAGAACCTTAATGATAATAACACTGATGAAGGAGGACAATAATGGCTATGGGTAAAACAATGGCTGTAGAGGGAAAACTGTCAACACAGCAGCAGTTGAAAGACAAAAAAATGTGATTCATTTTTGGACTTGTCCCACTCTACCCCACTCTAACCGATCCCACAGACACTCATCATAAACTCTGAAACGGGTGAAAAAAAGCATGAAAAGTGGAACTGAAGAAAAACTATAAAAAATATTGAAAAGATAAATACAAGCTCAATAGTTTCATGTCTTGGCTTCGTTTTAAAGTCTGAAAGGTGTCTGTAGGTGAACGTATATGGAAGCAGTTAGAGTTAAAAGAGGGGCAACTGAAAAGAGGGTTTAAACACTTCTCTCCATTGAAATACATTATAGATTTTGTTGAATAAAGTTGAATATTTCAAAAAATATAAAAGTTAGAAATGAGAAAAAGCAGACATGTAGAAAAGAAGAGCAATATAACGGTGGTTGAATGGTTTTTCTAAGTTGAAGGTGATAGCTGGTGAAAAACCTACACAATACAGGATAATAATAATGAAAAATAATAACAAAGATTTGGATTATAATGCTGTGAATGTTTAATCTACATTCACACTAATTAGAAGTAAAGTGAATGTTATAATATATTGGCTATAGAATAATAACAACTGCCTGTAAATATCAGTTTTACAGTGTAGCTCTGTCTAAAGGAAAAATGAGACACATATCAGTTATGCAGCTGTAATGCAAAATGTAGATATTTGCAGGTATCTCACAGTGTGCTTCAAGCATAAAAAACACATGTGACTAACCTGTTCTTGGTGAAGGTGCTGTTAAAGAGCTGGTCCTCGTAGCGCTGCCTGGCCATGTTTCCTCCAAAGCCCAGGAACGTGGTGACATACACTCGGTACACGTGTTGCGTGTGCTCGACATCACAGCCCAGATTAAACTCTGCGAGGAAGCTCTTCCCTGCCTCCTCCTGAAAACCACAGGCGTGTTACGCTAATGCAGACAGGAGCAGCCTTCCAGGCTACATCACAGGCAGGACAGGTCAGTACTCAGTGTATTTCCTTACTTCTTGAGGTGAGTTGAAGGTGATGGCGCTGGGCACCTCATAGGCGATCTGAAGCGAAGCTCCACCCATATCCATGATGCCCACTGTGCGCCGTCTGCTGATTGGCTGCTGGTTCTGAGAACTTGTCGTCACTTCGACTGTGGCGTCCTCTAAAATTTTTTTTTTTTTAAAATATTAAAAAAATTCCACCCCCCCAAAAAATAACAATTTTGCATAAAACACACGTGAAACAAACATTAGTGTGAGTTTGGTAAACATCATGCCTCCGTCACACTCACCCTCATCAGGATGGTCGAAGCGGCCCAAGACAAAGTTAATGCCAATCCATGCATACACTCCTACGAGGTCACAGGAACATGTCGTTTCACAGTGAGGAGACACAGAAACAAGCAGGCAGCAGTTAGAAGTGTCAGATTTAAAGAGTGCCACTATCAGCAGGGTAAACAAGACTGTCAGCTCACCTTCCTGTTTCCCAGAGATGACCTCAACATGTGAACGGGAAAAGAGGAAATCAAACTCCAGGGGGACATCGGTGACAAGATCCTCTATAATGTCTGCTTGCTGCCTACATGCAGAGAAGTACAGCATAAAACGGGAGGTTTTGTTCACAATATAGAAATACAGAACAAGTGAGGAAAGCTGCAAACCCTTCATTTACCAGGGACAGCCAATCAGAAGAAAGGTGAGGGAGACCATATCAGCTTTACTAGAGTAGAGTCAAATGGTTCACAGTGGGAGCTGGAAACAACCATACCAGGTCTCCCTTAAAATACCATTAGATTAAAAACTGATGCTGTTGCGTGGTGTTCTGTTTACCTCTCATGCAGCAGCCGCATGCCAGCAGTACAGAGGATGTAGAGTGGAGTCTCTTTATGTTTGTTCTTTGGGACATGAGCAGCAGCAAAGCTGAGGAGAGGGTGGAGGTAGTCACTGGCCTGCGTTGGTGTGGTTGCCAGAGTAGAGATTCCTGAGAGAATACACACACACACACAGTACAATCAGGTATAAAATACAAAATTCAGAATTTTTAGCTAGTTATAAAATTAGAGCTAGCTAATGCAGAAAGCTAATACGTCGCCCATAATGGAACAGAAAGAAAATCTAATGCTGTCAAGATAAGATGAAGTTGAACAGGGTGAATTTGGGTCATAAAATGACTAATAAATGACTAATATATAGGTATAGTTGAGGTTTCACACAAACACTTTACATGACATGATCTAAAATATATGAGTGTGTTTTGGTAGGAATAAATGCTGAATGATATGAAAAATCTGGAAGTATTTGATGCAGATCACTGAACTAGACAAAGCTAAGACATCAGCATTATAACCTTACACACCACACATCAATCATAAAAGCCTTAAAAGGAAAATGATTAGAATGGTTGTCACACAACGATGTCCCGGCATTCAAAGGGTCAGGTTTCCTTTAACTGCAGCATTCGATCTAATCTGCCTGCTGTGGCAGAGATAAAACAAAGTCGCAGGGACTGAAAGCTCCTCACCACTGATGTGACTAATTATTAAAAGGTACAGTGTGTAAAATCTAGTAGATTGTTTTACCCCTCCCAATTTAGTACATAATCCTATTGTTACTCAACATGCCAGGTGTCTATTTGTTCTGGAGGAGGCTGTGAACATTTGTGGAAGGAGTCGGATATAAGTCGGGAGGGTCACATATCTAATCTGCTGACATTAAGTAATTGTGATAATATCAGCCATGGATAAGCATGTATAAGCATTAATGCACAGATCTGTGTGTTAGAGCTTTGATTTTAGTTCAGGAGATGAGGCCTGAGGTGAGGAGGAAGAGGATGAGGTGGAAATGAGGGAAGACAGAAAAGTGATGGATGAGACAGATGAAGAGGAGGAGAACGACATAATGAAAAAGAGATAAAGAAAATATACATGTACGAATATTAAATGGTCCTATCATTTTAATTTTGGGATCTTTCAATTAGAAGTGACTTATACGGCAGTGTCTAGTCACATACATAAAATAGAATTAAGTGTAACACCACCAAGTTCACTTTGCATGGGAAAACAACTGAAGCCAAATCTGTTTATCTTTTTCCTACTTTCTGTTTTCCATCATGTTCTTTCCAGATTCACATGCTCTGACTTTCACTTTTCTGGCCGTGAGCCAAAGGGCAAACAGTGAATAAGAAATGATCTCGCTGTCGCCATCATCTTCTGTCTCACTGGCACCGTCTGGCACCAAAAACAAAACAAAACAAATAAACAATCAGTCTTTGCCACTTTGTTTCTGGTCTGTACATAAGGCTTAAACAGTTACAGTTAAGCAAACCTAGAAACAATGTTTCTTCTAATTGCTCATTCATTTACGTGAACACTGTGATTCATCTTATGCCATCCGACTTTGATTTACCTCGACTGCTGAGCATAGCCTTTCCTAAATCTTTCTGGGGTGGCTGTAGCTCAGGTGGCAGAGCAGGTCAGCCACTAATCAGGTCAGTGGTTCGATTCCAGGCTGCCTCCTGCATGCCAAATATCATGCAGATACTCAGAGGGCCCGGTGGCGCCAGTGTCCGGCAGCCTCGCCTCTGTTAGTGCGCCCCAAGGCAGCTGTGGCTACAATGTAGCTTGCCATTGCCGTGTGTGTGTGTGAATGACTGAATGTAGTGTAAAGCGCTTTGGGGTCCTTAGGGACTGAGTAAAGCGCTATACAAATGCAGGCCATTTACCATTTCTGACTGAGTATAAAGAGAAATTTAGTACTCTGATCTGCTCCTGTTCTGTTAAGGGTACACCATTTATACAAATGTAACATTTCCTGTATATGTTTCAAATTAAAAGCCATTTAGCATTTTAATACACAGAAACTGTTCAGTTCTTATAAAAAGCCTTTTGCAGTCAAACTTTTGCAAACTAATTTCCATCTGAAAAAAAAAACATTCATAAAATTATCAGTGGCTCACAAAACTGGTCAATGACTCACATGTTATTCTACCACAGCAGATAATAAGAAAGGACGTCTATACTACAAGAAAAAAGGGAGAGAGAGAGGAGGATACACAAGAGTGCAGACAGTAGGATGTGAGGAATATGTAGGAGGATGAAGGACGATAAAAATGGACAGACATGACTTTTCAAATCCAGACAAAGGACTTTAACCACACATTCATACAGTGTTTAATTCTATATGCTCTAAGCACTTCATCTACCCCGCATCCAAGGCCAGCTAGGAACTTCCACTTGACCTAAAATCCATGTCTTAAAACTTTGATACGTAAAGAAAGGCCCCAGCCAATCAGTAGACCTGAACTAGAAACATTGTGGCTTTGAAGTTCTAACCACTGTACACCATACTGCCTGGGGAGTCGCAGAGGATCTATTCATAAAACCAGTCTAACATTTGCTCATGTAGAGCTATGCGTTCTCAGCAAGCTTTCACACTCTGTACAAACTCCGAGTGAGCTTTGCTTACTCACCAGGCTTGATCTTCTTGACGACAGTGTTGCGGCTGCGGTCCCTCATTTGTCTGATGTCCAGTAGGGTGTGGGGGTTCCCGTTATGGGGTGGCCAGTAATACACAAAGATCCTGGAGCCACTGCTGCCACAGTCCACCACGATGCCATAATTCAGTGAAGGGTTGAGGATGTCAGTAGCCTCCATAGACTCAGTGAGGGAGAGGTATCTGAAGGAGAGCAAACAGAAACATTAGGAGATGAAGAATATACTCAGAAAACTGCACTTATGTACCAAAGAAAGCACAAAGGTGTCAAGAGCTTAAATAATATCCACAGACATGCTTCTTCCTTTAAATCCGCTTGAAACAAATGTTCTACACATTCATACAAAGAAACCGCAGAGTGCATTTACATTTTTCCAAATGATCTCCTTATTTAGTATCTTTCCCTTGTTTACTGAGGAGAACACCTGCAGTCAGTCCCACACACTGAGTCCTTTCAACAGTGCTCTCAAAGCTGGTTATCTGTTTACCATGAGCTTTCCACTCGAGCACACTTGAAAGAGAGGAGGGCCTGCATTATTTGAGCTCAAAGAGAATATGATCGACATGGCGGCACTTAAGAAATTCTCTAGACTTCATTGCTCAGATTAATGGTGGCTGATTATGAAATGCACCTAAATTTATGGCATGTTTTGGCATGCTGTTTCACCCTCCTATTTCCTTAGAGCCATGCTTCGTTTAGCTTAGCTTCTACAACACTGACTGGAAAAGGTTTTGGGACTAGATTTTTGAAATTGCATTTTCTAACAAGACAAACTAACACAGGAAGACAAAAATCTATTAAAGTGAGCCCAAAGTAGCATATAAGAGGAAAACACGTTACCAAAAGGCTTCCAGATTTGCAAGAGGCCACTCTGTCAGCCTCTGTGTACGGCTCAAATGAAATGAGTTTATTTGTTTCATTTCCGTCCACTCACTTGTTAATTTGGGTCCCAGACCGTCGCTGGGTGCCCCATAGCTGCCTTTGGTAGGTTTCCAGAAGGAAGAAGGCAGAGGTGATGAGCAGCAGCAGCAGGAGCAGAAGCCTCTGTCTTGGGGCACAGCCCAGAGACAGCAGGGACACGCTGCAGTACCAGGAGGCTGGCAGGCAGGACAAAGTAATCCTGTGGAAGACGAAGACACAGCAGATACTGTTATATACAACAGCAGCCATTCTGACATGAAACAGTAGGTAAATACAAGTTTAAGTTAATTAATTAATTATAGGCTCTGTTGTGTTAAGTGCTGAGCCCACAGTAACATAAGTAGTAACACCTGTGTTTCCCACAGCCATGGAAAAACATTTGTTAGCGTGCCAAGCATAACGGCTTCTCAGGAATACTCTGACAGCAGAAACTGTTATCGGTTTATTACCTTGCCATGTGTCCACATCAGCAAAAGTACAAAATGTCACAGTCGTCACCTCATGGCGGCTGCAGGCTGATTATGATGTTGTCAACTGAATTTTTTTTTCTGCTGGAAGGGAGTAAGAAGGGGGAGGGGGGAGAGAGGCTCAGCGGACTTAATGTTAATGCCCTGTTGTCTAAATGCACGTAAAAATAAAAATAAAAGAAAAACTTTACAACACAATAAATACTTTACTCTAGTCAGCTGGCAGCCTGTACACTGGCAGACCTAACTAACACTGTTTGTCTTCGTAAGGCCTTAATTTTACTTGCTACAACCTCAAAAAATCGAATTTATTTGTAACACTTGCAAACAAACAAATTACTCTAGCCTGCCTGCCAGAACAATAAGCATATTGTGCTTCAAATCTGTGATATATTTTTAAATCCCGTGCTGCACTTGTTAGACGCTGTCGTTAAATAGAAGAGGACCATTTTAGTATAATCTCTCTTTTTTTCCACGGGTCAGTGTAACTAGCCTACCTCTCAGTTATATAAGCTAAAACCGTTACATAAAACACAATAACTGTAACCCAAACCAAATAACAGAGGGAAAAATACATTATATGCTGTATTTATTTATTGGCTACAAATGTAGCTATCATTGTTAATAACTGTTCAATTACAAACCGGATACGTTTACGAACAACTGATAACCATCACAGCACCCGTATGCTATCACTCGCTCTTATAAACGTACCTACAGAAGCCTCTTCTCCACCATGGCAGTAACAGACATTAATAATACTTGTTTGTAGTTCGACAGATAAGACAATACGACCCCTTATTCTCTCGCCGCATCACCGTAAATTATTAGTTTAGAGAACACGACGAGGAGACGGAGAGGAAATGACCGAAATTTCCGGTTAGCCGGTTGGCTACGTCATCAAACACGAAAGGCGAAGGCTTGCTGCATTCAAGCCTGTAGGAATAATCAGAACTATGCAATGCGGTGGAATGGGAAATATTTTATTTTTCCGACATATGGGAATTATTTTTATTACAACAACTAAAATCATAATATTAAAAATACATCAGACTATCGTAGAGTGTGTATGTACGATCATACACTAGCAATATTAATAACAATAATAATATGTCTATAACATTTTATAGACTTTTTTTTTAATCAAAGACTGTTTATTTTATCTTGAAAAATCAGTAAGTTGTGTTTTCTCCAGATCAAAAAGTCCATATGACATATGATTTTGTCATGTAAAAAAACAATATACCCTTTTGCTGAAGTAAACATATCAGTATTAAAGAAAAATAAAAGAAATCCCACAAATGCCCTAACTTTAAGTGTAGATGTGTTTCGTTCAAGTCTACGTTGATGCGTAATCTGGGACGTCCCGTTCCAGCAGGCCCATACGCGTGATAAAAAGAAGTTACAAAAGACGAGATTTAAACTCCACCCACTTTACCTACCCGCCCAGCCCAAACTGGCTAATTGGAGCGAACTGTCTATGATTGACAGCTAGTCTAGCGAATCAAATTCATTTGTTGGCGTGCAACACTCACAACCAACCCATCCTTCCTCCTGGTTCCCGGTCTCTCTGCAGCTGGCTGCCGCGCACTTTCTATCCCCGGCCTGCATTCATAAGCTGCCGGGAAGAACGCGCCAACAGGCAACCGCCGGATTTTTCCATATCAGTAGGACTAAAGTCACTTACCTGAATGGAAGCGGATGGTTTCATGTCCCGGCGAACGTCGGTGGAAGCAGCGGGCGTCGATAGCCGGGTCACTGGCCCTGCAGCCAGGGCAGAGATTCGATGGTTGGGCGGCAGACTGCTGGGAACATCGGGAGGATTTCATGTCTCATCCAGAATGGCGGGGGAACAGGACTTTGTCTCGGTGTCACATCGGTCTACTCTGGAGACCTTGACTTCTGTCGAGACAGAAATAGACTATGAAGGACTGCCTCAAGGAGTATCCACCAGCACACACATGTTGGCAGGTGCCGTTGCTGGAATCATGGAGCACTGCGTTATGTATCCCGTCGACTGTGTCAAGGTATAAGAGCGATGGAATATAATAGGCTACGAGTTTTAAAGTTTGTCGTGCTCTGTTTTTGCAGCATTGAGGGTAGCAACTGGTTGTATAAAGCCGAATCTGACGCAGGCCTCTTTACAAGCCTGAGCTCGATTAACGCTAGCTTACAAGCTAACAGGGGGTAACCTTGCTAACAGAGGTCAGTTAAATCAGCTACGTTACCTAAACCTAAAATTATAAAACTCAGGATTCTCAGGCGGACGCAGTGGGAAGCTTAATGTTAGTGTGTATGTTTACCTTTACCTAGCTTTGATTTGGAGAGATAACTGATGTGTTAGGCTTGATAGTAGCTCACTGAGGTGCCGTTAGTGTGGTAACCGGCACCTCAGTTTGTCCCAGATTGTTAAAGTTTGTCCCTAACATGCATCCTTTATCGCACAGAGTTTGAAATGTGCATTTTTGGTGTGTTTTCTTTTTTCAATTTCAAGTGGACTCGTAAATTTACACCTTGCTACACAGCACTACTTTCCCACGGGTCCCGATACACTTAAAGAAAGTTATCACTTAACCCATTAACTCCATGGACATTTTGTGTTGCTTTGTCCAAAGCCTTCAATTGTGCTACGTTTTAAGTAAATGGTTAGTATCGTAAAAGTAATCCCGAAGAAAATCCAACAGGCGAGATTTTAGAATTAACTTTGGAGTTCACATATGGTCAAAGTCTGATATCAAAGACGTAACCGTAGAGGACTAAACGGAAGCGATACTGGGGACAGTTGTTGCTTTCATTCATTTGCATTGTTGGAGCTACCTTTATGGTTGTAGACAACATCACTCTTTGCTTTACTTTGGGAAAACACTTTGCAGAAACTGTCAAAAAACCACGGTGAAGAGTTGGCTGTAGTAACTGAGTAACTCATTTGGGTCATTAGTCACTGGAGCAAAAGTCAATGACACACTAATTAAATGAAGCACTCCTTGGCAGAAGAGGGTGTGGCCCTGTGCACAGGCTTCTTTCTCAGAATAACTGGATGGTTTAGGATTTTCTAACCATGTCTTCCTATGATATAAATGTCTGTGCCAACTGTGAACAGCTGCTTGTCCCATGCTTTAGCTAGAAAAGTTGAGTAGATTTAAGGATTAGAGGAGGAACTGACTAGTCAAATCTTAGCAGTCAAAAAGCATTTCAGCAATCAAGACAGTGTCTTCCTTTGTAAGCTTAGTGCTCAGTATGCGGCCTGTTATTTCCTTTTTGTATCAGGAGATAAAGAAGCAGTAATTCTGTGGTTTCTTATAGCGGTGGTAAATCAAACAAAAGGCTTATTCACTATAAATTCCAAGTTGAAGATTTGGTGAAAACAAGCTCAAGCTTTCCCTTGCAGGACCTTTCATCAGAATCACACCATGATCAGCAGATGTTTGTTGAAAATGTTTTGACTTGCAGATTTGTGGTTATTCCAAATTCTTATTAACAAGGATGTAAATGTGCAATCTGCTGCAGTGACAAGTCCTGTTCAGGTCATTTTAACTGAGCAACATTTGGTAAAAAATGATGTTGATCACTTCCTCATTTTTAGAAAGCCTTTAACAAAAACATAGAGCAATTAACATTCAGACCTAATGTCATTCCTGGTAGGATGTCAGCTACATGTGCTTCGGGTGTTTTAATTTATAAAGAAGACTTTAAGTTGAGAATTTCGTAAGCCTTTCCTGGCCTTATGTGTCTCAAGACTGTGTCGCTCTTCCAGCAACAAAGCTGAAGTAGAAGGAAGTGGATTACAAAACTTTGTGGTTGAATATCTTTTGTCTGAAGGAACTTTGGATTTTCTTTACAGTAAACTTTTAAAGACAACTTCCTTTTACTGCTAAGGTTTGTTTTTTCACAACCTGTTTCCTGCTGCCATCATACGTAGCTGGCCAGCATCTTTATGTAGTACTGATCGTTATGCTTCAGTCTATTCTTCTCACTAAATTCAGTGTCTGTTTCTTCATTGCTTGAAGGCAGGCAGAAAGCATTATCTTACTAATCTGTTTTGGTGAAAGAAGTTTCTTTCACCAAAATAATATCAGGAATTATTTTTTTATTTTTTTTTGTAAGCGAGTTTTATTTACTCAATCGACACATAGTTTGAGCTTTTTCATACATAAACGTCTATTTTAAGCTAGGGAAAAAAACAAATGCAGACTTTTTCCTGGGTGAACCATTAAAAAAACCTTTTGAAAAAATGGTGAAATATGTTGCAAAATGTTACAAACCTCTGATCCATTTAATCAGACTTTAAAAGGAAGCACTGCTGTAGTTTCTTCAGTATCTACAATTGACCTTGCCCTTTGACTGTTTGCACAAAGCTACCCTGTCTATCTAGTTGGTAGATTTTAATGTTTTTTAGGGTAATGTAGCAACCTAGCAACAGCTGCCAGGTTGCTACATCAGGCCGTCAGAGATGATTGCTTTGATAGCAGAGGTGGCATTTGCTCTTTTGCAGGGCAAATATGACACTAGTGAGTTAGTGGTATACAGTGAAGTAAGGCTGAATACATAAACCGGTGAACTGTTGTCATTTTTTTCACTACCAGCTGCTGCTGTTGTTTGCTGCTCAGTGCTGAGGACGTGGACGTTCTACAACAGTCTTGAATGCACCGCTCACATTGTGGATGGATGAGCACATTCTGTGTGCGTTATCGTTTCCCAGAAGCACAAACCGGGAAAGTCCATGTGAACATTTTGCCAAGAGGAAGATGTGCTCTCTGCTCTTCTGTAAAGCAGCTGGAAAAACTTAGGATTGTGACATGTTAGGGGGCTGAAAATATTGCTCATTGCTTTGGCAATCTGTTACTAGGCATGGGCAGCAAGTCTCAGGTCTACCCTGGGGCCTAGTCCCAGTAAGAAAGGCCCAGTCGGAACACCTTACCCCACCTCAGTTGCCTCCTTTTGGTGTGGCAGTGCAGCGGCTGCACTCTGAGCCCCTCCCAAATGACTGAACTCCTCACACTATCGCTAAGAGAAAGCCTAGTTCGCCTTACAGCGAAAGCACATATCCACAGTCTTATTCTTTCGCCTTTTAATTAAACTTTCAATGATAGCATTAACAAAAGATCAGGCCGAGATTGAGGGATTTATAGTGTTTCTCAACAACAACACTCCCTCTGGTGGCAGATGGCTGCATAACAGTAGGACACAACTATTACACAACTATTTACCAGCATTGGGTGTGAAGTAAAAACAACTAGTATATGTGATGCTGACTAGTGACAATAGCGATGATTGGTCGACTTGTCACGCACATCCCTATCTGTTACTTAGGTGGTCAGATTCATTTATTGTCCACCAGTGAACAGTAGTACTCATTCATGGGCAAAAACACTGATTGAACTCAGATCTAGTTACATTTTCTACAGTGATATGTACTTCCATAAACATTGGATGATTTCCAGTGAAAAGGCTGTTAAAATGACACATACTGCATGATATTTGGACACAGAAGTGAAACCGGGCCATCTTTGTCATCCAACATCATTTGTCTCAATCCTTTACTATATTAGGAGTTGTGGGTTTTGTTGTTTATGACAGGCTTCCTATACTGTCGTCATTTTAAAAAGCTGCAGTTTTCAAAACGCAAGAGCCTCTTCTAAAGATTAAAGTAACTTTGTGTTGCATCAGGAACTGCAGCATCAAATACCCAACATAGTAAGAACCACAAACAGAATAGACGAACCTAAAATTTATCATTTACATGAGTGCTTGCCTACTGCGCCAAATGTCCTGTTAGCTGTTCAGGTTTCCCTGACAGAGGGATAAGTGTTTATAATGGTTATGCTGACAGAAAGGGGCCCTGTAACACTTCCTCCATTTTTATTTTTTTCCTTGTTTGT